ATGAAGTTAACCCCTTAGCCTACACAGAAATATAATTTGCAGTTTGAATAATACTGCTTTAAGAGAAAAAGACAAGAGTGAAGTCGGTGTCCAGACAGAAGCATTGATGGAGTATTTAATTCCCATATTTCATACAGAGAGCAGGCAATGTTTTTCTCTCTTTTCCAACTGTCCCTACTTTAATATATAATACTAAATTCCTTGCTATAACTTGCACCTTGTGGGCAAAGAAAGCCCTGGTGACAGTTCTCATTAAGATAATTTCTTGAGAAAGTGAAGCTGTGGTTCAAAGTGATAAAGCACTAGCCTTTAGCAAAAAGAGCTCAGGGACATTGCTTAGGTCCTGAGTTCAAGCCCCACAACTGACAAAAATAATAATCATTATATCGTTAATAATATAATTAAATGCTATATTATGTACAGCTATATTAATATATGATAATTAAATAATACTATGCCACTTTCCCAGCCCTGATAAATATTATTTTATATGATCAGAGGCCCAGAAGCATTGTGCCTTTGTGTTCTAAAAATTAACTTTAATGAATCAGTCACAATCTAGAAACTGCTATCGTTTTACACATACGTGTAACAAAAATATTAGTTATAATGTATAGTTAAAAATTATTAAAAGTGGCAGTATATCTTATAGTTATATAATAAAGTATACAATACAAAACTATACCTAAATATATAAATATATTTAACAGGCTATTTCCCCAGAATATTAAATTTAAAAATCACTAATATGCTAACAGAAAAATCAAAAGATATGTAGTAATTTTCACAATGTTAGATTCTGATTATAAATTTGGGTATTGGCATTTAGATGAGAAAACTTGTACAGGTGTTTTATCTGAGGATTTAAAGCTGCATTGATGGAGATGTACATATTATATCTTACTTTTGAAATTGAATAAAAACCTCTTCTAATCAATGACTTGGCTGTGCTATAACCTATATATAAAATTCCCTGGCTGGACACCAGTGGCTCTCACCTGTAACGCTAGCTACGTAAGAGGCTGAGATCTGAGGATCACGGTTCAAAGCCAGCCCAGGAAAGTCCAGGAAAGTTCGTGAGACTCTTATCTACAATAAAACACTCAGAAAACTAGAAGTGGTGCTGTGGCTCAAGTGGTAGAGTGTTCACCTTGAGCTGAAGAGCTCAGGGACAGCACCCAGGCCCAGAGTTCAAGCTCCACAACCGACAAAAAAAGAAAATTCTCTGGAGAATAAAATCATAGTTGGATTCTTTCAAAAGATGTATAATCATTGGAACAAAGAGAAACTTCTTATATGGATTCACTGCAAAATAGGAAATCCATGGAAGATATACAAAAGAACTTACATTTTAATTATTTTCTTCCTTTTCTACCCAAAGGCTAGTCCTAGACAGCTGAAACACTGTATTGCCATTTTATTACCAACATGAAAAGAAATGTTATTTATTACAAAGTCATATCTGTTTTTAGTTTTGCAATAAAAAGCTAACACCCAAGTATTAAATTTTACAAAACCAGATCACTGTTTCAATTACAGTCAGCCCTGTCTTTTGTAATATTTTCTCCTTTTATGTGACTAGTGCTCTTTACTACTGACAATGTCCTTTGCTTAACAGAGGTGTTTTAGACAAGTTTAGCATTATCAACTATTTCTTTCATGAATCATACCATTTATGTTGTGTCATCACCATACACCATACCTGAGGTTTTCTCTTATGTGATTCTAGGAGTTATGTAGTTTTATGTGTTACATTTAAGCAAACAAATTTTTGTCCTTTTTTTTTTTTTTTTGCCAGTCCTGTGGCTTGAACTCAGGCTCTGGGCACTGTTCCTGAGCTTCTTTTGCTCAAGGCTAACACTCTACCATTTGAGCCACACTGCACCACCTCCAGCTTTTCTGTTTATGTGGTACTGAGCAATTGAACTCAGGGCTTCATGCATGCTAGGCAAGCACTTTACCACTAAGCCACATTCCCAGACCCAAACATAAACTTTTAAATGACCCAGTTTGAGTTGATTTTTTGTGAAGAGTATAGGCTCTATATCTTTTTTTTTTTGGTCGGTCATGGGGCCTGAACTCTTGAGCCGGGGGGCTGACCCTTAGCTCTTCAACTCAAAGTGAGCACTCTACCACTTGAGCTACTGCGCCACTTCTGGTTTTCTGATAGTTTATTGGAAATAGGAATCTCATGGTCTTTCCTGCCTGGGCTGGCTTTAAACCATGATCCTCAAGATCTTAGCCTCAGGGCTGGGAAGGTGGCTCACTGGTAGAATGCTTGCCTTGCATGCATGAGGCCCTGGGTTCAATCCCTCAGTACCACATAAGCAGAAAAAAGCTGGAAGTGGTGCTGAGGCTCAAGTGGTAGAGCACTAGCCTTAAGTTGAAGAGGCGAAGGACAGCACCTAAGCCCAGAGTTCAGACCCCACGACCGACCAAAAAAAAAAAAGAAGTAAGATCTTAGCCTCCTCAATAGCTAGATTACAGGTGTGAGCCACTGGCACCCGGCCACTTTGAGCTTTATAATGGTTAATTGGAAGTAAGAGTCTCACGGGACTTTCCTGTCTGGGTTGTCATCAAACCGTGATCCACAGATCTCTGCTTCCTGAGAATCTAGGATAACAGATGTGAGCCAATGGCTTAGTTTTTTTTTTTTAACCAAGTCAACAACCAGATATTCTAGTAGCATTTGTTAAAAAGTTTTTGTGCTGCACAGCATTGTTTTTGCTGCTTTGTCAAAGATAAGCTATGAACTGGGCACCATTGGTGCACACCTTAATCCTAGCTACTCAGAAGGCTGAGATCTGAGGATTAAGGTTTGCAGCTACCTAATTCAGGTAGGAAAATCCTAAAGACTCTTATCTCCAATTAATCAACAGAAAGCCAGAAGTGGTGCTGTGGTTCCACTTCTGTGGCAAAGTTCTAGCCTGGAGTATTATTTTTTTTTTGGGGGGGGGGTCCGGTCCTGGGGCCTGGGCACTGTCCTCAGCTCTTCAGCTCAAGGCTAGTGCTCTACCACTTGAGCCACAGCACCACTTCCAGCTTTTTTCTTTTTGCTTATGTGGT